GTCGCCCAGCACCAGCGCCTCTCCAACCTGGAGTTCCGCCTAGGCAACACCAAGCCTGCGCCTGGTATTGGCACCCTCATTGATGTCAACCGGCTGTGTGCAGTGCTGCCAGGCACAGTGCCGCAGAACGGCCAAGTACAGGTATTGCACAGGCGGGCGCAGCGCTCCTGCCAGCGTCATGCGGCATGCTCGCGTGCTGCTCAACTGCTTCCCCCAGGCTTGACCTCTGCTGCTGGCGTTCAACCGGCACTTGTGCAGAGCACGGTGAACATCGCCTGCCGAGGCATAAAGGTAAAGGTAAAGGTAAAGGTGGGGAAGAGCCTCCACAGGCTTAACTTCCCGGTTTTAACGTCTAGCTTTAGACCATTATTTGATCTGCCCGACGCGCCAAGTGCAGTACCCCCCACTAGTAGTGAATGGGTCCCGGGGAGGCCTGTGCCGAAGCCTTGGCGATTCTAATAGGCGTTCTCGAAGGAATTGGCTTGGATTGGCGCTGAGCCGGTCAGCTATGCCGCGTTTGTCCTCACAAAGTTTCGACATGGGAGGAATCGAACCTGTGCCCTCTCGGAGGGTTTAGACACTAGCTCCAGCGCCTTCAAAGAAGGCCTTTCTTAGCCGCGGCCCGAGGGTGTAAGGGGCGCTGGCTGTCCATCCAAAGGCTGTCGCGCGCCGCTGACACAGACGCTCGCTACCTGCAGATCGCAGAGGTTCAAGTGAGGATTGTGCTTGAGGAGCTGCAGCATTTCACAGCAAAAGCAGCTGCATCTCACATGTCGGCTGCTTCTGATATCCCACCGCACACAGCCTGATGGCTTGCTTCTTCCCCTGTGCAGGTGTTTGGCAACCTTCCAGAGCTGGATTGCCCCGACCGCGGCCAGCTGTCTTGCATCTCCAATGGCTTCGCGCTGCCCAACCCGCTCACCGCTTTGAATGCCAACTCCACCCGCCTGATGTTTACCGACTCCCAAGGCCAGCGACGCAACCTGCTGCAGCTCCTGAGCATCAACAGCGTGATCTCATGGTGGGTGCTGCCGCTGCCAAGGGCTGGGACCAGCTGTCTCCCTCTGCACCAGCCAGCAGCCCTTGCACTGCTGGCCCCTGCACCTCCTCCTCCTGGCCCCTGCAGGATCACCAACAAAGTGCCCTGGGACATTACCAAGTGTGTATGGCCCATCTTCCGCGGCCAGCAGGTGTGCGCAGCCTGCTACGCAAAGCCAATGCACCTGCAGGGGGAAGCCTGTGCTGAGGCAGGCCTGCGTGCGCCCATGTATGTCTGACTGGTTTTTGTGGCAATGGTTTGCTTGAAGGTGTATGGGTATGGCACCAACCCTCCAACTTGGCAATCTATAAGCGGCATTTCCGGGATGTTTGAAGCCTGCCAAAAGGCGCCGATGGACAAAACCCGTAGCTACTTCTTTGGTGTCTTGCCAAAGTGAGCTGGGCGGGCTCTTTGTCGGTAGTTTGTTGAAGGAGTCCAACGCGCCTGTTCTCTGCTCCTTGCGGCTGCCGCTCTGCCTCAAGGTCCACCACTGTCGGCCCCCGCTGCTGCCACCGCCGCTCCGTTGCTGCAGCTTGGCATCCCTCATACCAGAGGGTGCCGACCTGGTGGGCCTGAAAGAGACGCTGAGCACAGTGATGCCAGAGTTCAGCGTGTGCCTGGCCCTCAACCCCTGCCTCCCCCAAGATTTCGACCTGCTGATGAGTGGTGCTGCGCCGCCTGCCGCGTGCTGTGCCTACCAGCTGAGCGCACCTGCTCACATCAACATGTCCTCCAACTAACTTTGCTGCCTTTGCCCTTTGTGTGCTGCACGTCGGCTTCATTGGAGTTTCTGTCGACGTCCCGGTGAGGCGGGCTAGCATCCCCGCGGGCATGCTGTGGCACGCTTTGGCATCTATGTCCCACGCCCCCCATATGCGATGGCTATCCGCAGGTGACCCCGTTTGTATTTTCGTTCGGCCTGGATGCGTTTGGGTTCTCCAAGGCCGGCCGGCTGACACCGCCAAGCCAGGCAAATGAGGACACGGCGCGCACCCTCTGGACGCCGTACTTTGGAACCGGCAGCCCACGTCCAGGCAAGCTAGCTGCAGTGCCTGGCCTGGGCTTGGCTGCAAGCTTGTGACCATTTGAGGCCAACAGTTGTTGCCACCCTCTTCAGCATCCAACTGCGTGTTGGGGACCCCTCTTGCTGCAGGCACCGTGGCCCCTATCGACTCCCAGGGCAACCTGTACCTGGCAGGCACCGTGGGCTTCAGTTTTGGGATCCAAAAGATCAAGCTGGGCATGAATGGCGCGGCCTGGGTACTCATAAAGTACACCAGCCCCGCCGAGGTGGTGCTGTCTGTGGAGACGGGGCCGTCGCTCACCTTGTGGAACAAGCTCAGCCTGGACCTCAAGTAAGATGAGGCATCGAGCTGAGCTGCTGCCTGCTCGCCGCCGCTGCGGCTGGGGACAGGCCGCTTGCTATGCCCTCCTGGACCCCCCTGCCTCTTGCTGCTGACAACCTGGCCACACTTTGTCCCACCCATTGCAGGGGGCTCAACCAGGTCAACGCTGACATTCGTTTCAAGGGCAGTGGGGCGGACAACATAGAGTTCTGGTTAGCGCTTACCAAGAGGATCGACCTGAAGACATTGGTGGCAGGCATGCCGGCCATCGGCAGCAAGCTGGCCGACATGTGAGTGAGCACTACCGGCTGCCCAGTGGGGTGTGCCGCAGCTGTTGCTTGCCCGGATCGCCACATGCACCAGATGCCAGCTACAGAAGAAAGCATGCCGACATCGCTGCTGGCTTGCAGGATGCCGGCATACGTCTATATGCTGCTTCGTTTGGACGTCTATGCCAACACTGGAATTGGGGCAGCCGTGCGCATCACCTTTGAGACAGGGGTCACCCTGCAGGGGCGGGTGCGTGTTGGTTGGCACACGTGTGCAGCTTGCTGGGCGCATGTGCGTTCTGCCATTGACGAACCTTGTGCACACTTGGGTGCACGTTCCGCTGCTGTGCAGGCGGCGGATGTGGCCAAGGCTGCGTTGGGCACGGCCACCCTGCCACTTGGCTTCAGCATGATCGCGCAGGTAACGCCCAGTGGCACTTGGAGCGGAGCGCATGCTGGGCTGGCCTCGCATTGCGCAGCCCGTGCTGGAGCGTGCCCACGCTCCAGCACCCCGCTGCTGCATCTGAATGGTGCGTGCATGAGTCCTGCTCCAGGCCAACTTCAACGCTGGCAATTTCCGCATCATGTTTGTGGTTAAACTTGGCCCCGAAACATACTTTCTCAGCATTCCATTCTGCGCTACCGACGATGATTGTTCGCCTGCCCAAGCTTGCCAGTTGTTCATGTGAGGGGTGCTGGGCGTGCTGTGAGCATGCCGCGCATAGGCTGCCGCTTGCAGTCAAGCTTGCACCTATGTGCGCATCCTTCTTGGTGCTGCTTGGCATGCGGCCCGAACTTGACAAGTTGAAAGAGCTTGTCTGGTCAAATGCCTGCAGCTGCGGAGACAAGCTGCCACGCGGAGGCCCATGCACCCGCGACAGCCAGTGTCAGTCCAATAACTGCGCCACCAGCAGAGGGTTGCTCTTCTGTGTCGAGTGAGTGAGGATCGTTTGGGGAGGGTGTGCGTGAGCAGAAGGGAGGTTAATACTTCTTCCCTTGGCGCTCGCCCCCACGTCTGTCTGTAGGTGCACGAATGACAGTCAATGCAGAGCCAAGAACCCTGACACTGTCTGCGACACAACAACGTTCTGGGACCCCAAAACGCTCTACACCTGCAAGTCCTTCGGTTAGTGAGCCATCCTGCCCACCTGCAAGGCCTTTAGCCCATCCGTCGCTGCGCCAGCAGTGCCGCCAATGAGAAATGCTGCCACTCCTATGCAGGCACCTGCCGCAAGCGCGTAGATGGCTTTGGCGTCACCCAGTGCAAAGCTGGGTATGAGTCCATCCTTGGCGGTGAGTTGGCCCTGCCTTGCCACCAGGCATTCCACCTGCTTCAGCTGCGGGTAGCCACTGATGGCAGCCGGCACAGCATTGCATGCTGCAGCATCGAGGTGCCTGCTCTCACTTGACGGGTTGGGGACCCCCCATGTTGCTCGCAGGCACCACCTGCCGTCAGACGTGCTGGGGCGCCTTCTCCAAGTCTTGCGATGCCTACTGCACCTTGCCCACCCGCAGCTGCACAAACATCGGTGCGTTGCTGCTGCTGGCACGCTCACGGGCCAGTGCTGGCGACCTCAACATGCCTTGAATGGGGCCAGCGTATTGTTGATTGTGTCATTGACTCATCCTGCCGCCCTGCTTCCTCCCAAGTTTGCAGACAGCGGCATCACCAAGACATGCCCGCTGCAGGACTTTGTAAATGCAGACCAGCTGTGCTTGCGCAAGATTGTCTCCAGCGCTATTCCCGCCAACAAGTCCAGCGTCCAAGTTGGCAGCAGCGGCCTCGTGAATGGCGCAGCCAACTACTGCCCTGGTGGGTGGGCGGGCCCGTTCGGTGCTAGTTTGGGAGGAGGGACGGCGCTGCTGTTGCTGAAAGCAGGCGACAAATGGCCGCGCACTACCTCATGGGCCCCTTCTTCCTCCTCCCTCCTTGCCGCAGAGGGCGCCACAGGGATCAGCTCCGGCCTCACCGCCACCGGCCAGCTGCGGGTGCAGTGCGTGTTGCCCTGCCCTTCAAGCTTCTACCCAAGAGAGTGCGGCGGCTACTGCGCCATCGATTCCAGCGTCATATGCCCGCCCGACCCGGGAAGGATCCTGGGCAATGTGGCGCAATGTGAAGATTTCGAGAAAGTGAAGGTGCTGGGCTGAGAGCCATTGGGAGCGCTGCTGGCTGGAATCGCTCCCTCCGCAGGGGCAGTAAGGGCCAGACGCCATGCAGCTTGCGCCGTCCTTCTACAGCTCTTGCTCTTGGCAAACCTTAGTCGTTCACCACTCATTCCTCTCTCTTTGCAGCGGGTGGTGGAGCTCCCCTCTGAAACCAGCTGGGGGACCTGGGGCGGGTGGCAGATCTGCCCTGGAGCCAGGAGCGCCACGGGCTTCCAGCTCAAGTTGGAGGATCAACAGGGTGCCGGGGTCGTCAAAGATGACACCTCGGCCAACGGCATTCGCATGCAGTGCCCCAGCGGCCACATCATCTCGGTGAGTGATCAGCACGGTCGGCCGCTCAGGTCTGTTGCTGACATGCGGCCTTGACGCCTCATGCCCATGCCATGTCGTGCAGCCATCTAACAATGGGCCCTGGGGCAGGTGAGAGATGCCTTGCTGCAGCTGTTTGCCCAATCCACCTGCGACAAACTGGCTGGACAGGGCCAATAGACACCCAGCAAACTGCCTCGATCGAGTTCAACCCCCACCAGCTGCCGGCCCTTCTGCTGCAGCTGGAGGAACTGGGCATTCTGTGGCACTGGCCACGTGTTCTATGGCGCAAGGTTGCGTTCGGAGAAGGGCCAGGGCACGAAAGATGACACAGGTAAGGCGCATGCCGAGTGGCTGCTGGAAATGCAGAGGAGTGCGCCTCCCTGTTTGCAATCTACCCAGCTCATCCTTGCCATGCTTGCAGCTGTCAATGCGCTGAGGATGCAATGCACCAACGGCGTTGAAAAAATTTCGCATCCGGGCTGGTGGGGTAAGTCCCACCCCACCCCGCCCTGTCATTCTTGCCTGCTAAATTGTAGCCGCGGGTTCCAGCTTCTGTGCCCAGCAGCAAAGCAACTTATGATTTCAATCTGTGCCCGTCGACGCAGGCGACATCAAGTCGTGGGGCTGGTGCTTTGGCTCCACAACCATCTGTGGCTTTCAGCAGCAGGTGGAAAAGCCCCGAGGCTTGGCTGATGACACCGCATTGAACGGTGTCAGGATCCTTTGCTGTGACCGTGCATAATGCAATACAGAACATCTGCTAATCCGTGCCACCTCAGCATTATACTGAATACACAACACGCTCGTAACTATCATGCTCTCATACCTATCACCCTCTTGTGCCCCTCTTCCAAGCTTTGCATCGCTCGCCTACATGCCGCCACACTTCCATGCGGCGCTCGCTGATCAGCTCCACGACGGCACTTCCACTTTTGAACAATGCCCTGTTAGCTCCTGATTCCCCCAACTATCTACTGTATGAGGCATCCAACATAATGTACATGTAGGAGCCTTATGCTAGGTGCATTTAACGATCTAGCTCTACCTGGTCACAGATTACAGGAGGAAAGCATTTCAACTGGCATGAACGAGGGTCACTCCTGCATGCTCTGCAGCATCGCTGCCTGCGCCTGGACAAGAGCTGCCACCACCGCTTGCGCCTCGAGCACCGGCTCGAAGCCCCACAGTGCATCACCATCACCGTCGCCGCCGCTGCAACTGTCCAGCAGCCTCAGCACCTGCTCCACCCGCTGCTCTGAGTCTGCCGCCTCCAGCTCTGCTGCCGCAGCCTGCTTCACAGTGCTGGCTGCATCGGTGGCTGCATCGACGGCCTTGCCGGTAGCTGCCACCATGGCCTCTTGGCCAGTTGCCGCTGCTGCCAGCTTCTGCAGTCGGCTGCAAACCGCTGCGATGCCACGGCAGTCGGCCATCACAGCTGCTGCCGCAGAGGTGGCGTAGCCCGGCAGGACTGGAAGGTCCCGGACCGCCGCCAGCTCAGCACTAGCGCGTCTGGCGGCCGCACTGCACGCCTGCGCCAGCTGCTGCACCGACGCCACATCTGCTGGCGCCGCGCCGCCTAGCGCCTGCAGCACTGCCAACACCGCTCCACAGCTCGCCGCTTGCAGCGAGGCACCTGCTAGCTGCTGCTGCTGTTGGTGGGCTGCCGCCACCGGCTGCTGCAGCAACGGCTGCAGCTGCTCCAGCAACGCTGCCGCATCCTCAGCGTTGCCCAAGCTGGCTGAAGTGACCAGCGCCAAGGCCACCATCACGCGAAGCTCTGCCAGGCAGCGCCGCCGCCATGCCGCTCCCGAGGGCGAGGCCGCCTGTGCAGCGAGCGGGCGGGACCACCAGCAACGGGCGTAGCCCGGGGGAGGCTGGCCTTGCGCTGCCGCCTGCCACCAGTCACCTACCGCGCTGCCGGCAGCAGAGCCAGGAGGGTACCAGCTAGGGCGGGTGCTGAGATCCTCGTTGAAACGCACCAATGCGCCACCTACGGCCCCGCCTCTGCCCTCGCCTGCTGCCACCTCCCGTTCGGCTGCCGCTGCAAGCAGCTGCGCCGCGTGCAGCAGTCCTGTGCGCTGGCTGGCAGTGCCGCCGGCGCCCGCGCCGGCCTTGCTGCCTGTGCTGCTGCTGCTGGTGTGCTCGGCCAGCAGGGTACGGGCCACGGCAGCCAGGGCGCGGGTGTGCGAGTGCTGCAGCCGCTCCTTGAAGTCAACAAACTCGGCCACCTGCGGAAAGCAGCGGATACGGTTGGTGTTACTGGTGGCTTGTTGTACGTTGGTCAAGGTCCAGCCAGCCGGCCTGCACACATGCCCCCCGCCGCCCCCCCGCCCACCCCGCCCGGCGCCTTGCCTTGGAGTAGGTGCCATGCTCCAATGCTGTCCCAAGCGCGTCTCCGGCATCTCCCTGTTGCGAACTGTGCAGCAGGGTGCAGCCGTCCACCCAGCTGCAGTCGGCACACGGGGCGGTGGCGGCGGCAGTTATCGAGAGGGTAGTCGCACGTTGACCAGCAGGGCAGGCATGCGGCGGCTCAGGCACCCAGGCCCTCATCCACCCCTCCAGCAGTCGATGACGTGCGCACTTCTCCTGCCCCTGCGCCTGCCACGGCTGCGAACCCCGCCTCACCAGCGCAGGTAGGCGGCGGCGGTGGCGCCGCCCGGCAGCAGTGGCAGCATCCAGTGGCCTGTCATCGAGTCGTGCAGGATGCTCTTGATGTCCAGGGCAGCAAACTGGGCGGCGGCTGCACAGCGGGGCAGGGAGGAAGGGCTCATGAGGCGGCGGGGGCAACGAAGGAGGGGGTGAGACACCTGCCCAAGTCGCACCCAGCCTGGCGGCCACCGCCTTGTTGCGGCTGCCCCAGCTACGCACTCACCCAGCTTGGGTGCACCCAGCAGGCTGTACAGCGCCGTGGCTGCCAGGCGCAGCGGTGCCGACACCTTGCGCCGCTGCTGCGCCGCCTCCAGCACCAGCACTGCCTGCACCATGCGGGCGAGGGCGCGCTCCGGCGGCGGAGCCGCCCCTGGCCCCGCCGCCTGCGCCGGCGCCGCCGCCGCCGTCTCCAGCACGGCGGCCGCCATCAACGATTCCACCGCGCCCGCCACCAGCTCCTCTCCATACCCTCGCTCCTTCTCGTCCAGCCCCGCTGCAGCAGTAGCCCGCGGGGCAGATGGCAGTTCTCAGGCAGGTGGCGGTGGAGCAGGGCAGACAAAGTACGGTGTTCACGCAGCCGAACTGCGACGCAGCAGGCGCCACTGGTCGCATACCTGACAGGTGCATGTGGCGGCGGTACAGGTCCAGAAGACAGCGTGCATGCGCCACAGCCTCGTCAGGCGCCGCAAAGCGAGGCAGACCCAGCTCCTGCTCAATCTGGTGGGCGTTGACCAGCCGCTGCAGCCGCCGCACCTCCCCAGACACGCCGCCACCGCCGCCGCCATTGGCTGCTGCAGAACTGTTCCCGGTGCTGCCGCCCACGCCGGCACTGCTGTTGGCTGCGTCCTGTGCGTTTAGCTCTGCGGCCTGGCGGTGCACTGCCGTCGCCAGCTGCTCGGCCGCTGTGCCAGACAGGGTGGCCAGGTAGGCTCGCAGGTCGCTGACGCAGCTAAAGTTGGCTGCCAGCATGGGAAAAGCCTCGCCCACCGCTGCTGCCAGCTCCTGCTGCTGCTCCTCCGAAGCTGGCACCGTGTCTGTGTGACCATCGGCGGCCCCCGCCAGGCGCTGCCGGCGAAGCAGCAGCTCGCAGCGCCAGAGGTGCGGCGCTCTCAGCACGCCGTTGTCCAGCTGCGCCCGCCAGCTGTCGCTGGGCGCCACCTCAGCGCTGAGCTGACGCATGCTTTCCTTTGCCGCCGCCAGCGCCGCCGCCGCGTCGTCGCCGATGCCACCCCCCGCTGGCTGCTGCTGCTGCTGCTGCTGCTGCATCCGCCGGTCCCAGATGTCAGCCAGTCCGCCAACCACGCCGACAGGAAAGCGGCTGCCGCTGGGCCCGCCGCTGCTGCCGGGCAGCAAGCAATCCAAGTAGAGCTGCCAGGACAGCCAATCGTCGGGGGCCGCCTGCACGGCCTGCCGGTAGCAGGCGGCCGCGGCGGGCAGGTCCCCTGCGCGAACCAGGGCCGCGGCCCGAAGCTGCAGCCGGTCTGCGGGCAGCGGCACGGCGCCGCCCAGCGGGCCCTCAACCACCTCCAGCGCCTGCTGCGCCTTGCCCTGCCCCTGAAGTATGTCCAGGTAGAGCAGAAGGGCCTCATAGCTCAGGCCCACCGCCACCTGCGGTTGCGCCTGCTGCGGCTGCGCGGGTGCGTGCTGAACGGCGGCGGCCGCCTGCCGCGCCGCCATCGTCTCCGCCAGCTGCAGCAGCTTGTCGGGGGCCAGCCCGCCGCCTGCCGCCAGCGGATTGCCGTGCTGGTCTTGGTGCAGGAGCGCGGCGCGGGCCTGGAGGGCCAGCGAGCACACTATCCACCAGCCGCACTTGTTGTCGGGGCTGCTGGCCACCAGCTTGGACAGCTTCATCGCCACCTGCTGCTGCTTCACAAAGTTGAACTCCCTGCGGCGCACAGCAGCGTGGGCCGCAGTGAGGGACACCATTCGCCCCACCCCCCATTACGCCGCGCCAACTGACAGCCGCGCTGCGCAGGAAGCGACCGCGCTGGTCGCTGTGGGGGCAGCCCTATATCCCCATCACGGCCCCTACACACGATACCCAACCCTGCCAGGCCCCACGCACACCACACAAAGATTTACAAATGGCAAATGCCGCCGGTGCAGGCTCCTGCCCACGGGGCCCCTGCTTGCAGGCTCCGCCTGGCAGCCGCACCGCCGCACCTCACATACGACTTAAACAGCCCCGCCAGGATGTCAGTGTCGCGCGGGTGCTTCTCAGCAGCAGCAGCGTACGCCTGCAAGCGGCGGAGCAGCGTGTCTGCGCGACGGTTAGGCCCAGCCAGCCACCGGCGCGTGCCGCAAGCCTCTCCTCCATCCCGTGCTGGACACGCTGCCGTGCGGCACTGATGCATGGCGCCATGCTGCTTGCTCGCCTGAGAGATGGCTTCCAGCTGCCCTGCCGCCTTGTAGGTGTAAGACATCGTCATGACCACTCGCTCCGCTTCGGGGCCCTCAGCCACAATGTCGCGCATCAGCTGCAGCGGCAGCAGATGAGGGGCAGCCCCAAAGCACGGTGGAAGCTCAATCTCACTGCTGTCTAGTGTCGGGGTAATGGTGCATCGCGCTTCTGTCGAGGCCGACGGCCGCCCCAGTCTACAATCACACCTGCAGCGCCTCCTGGTGCTTGCCAGTGTGGTACAGGGCGTAACCCTTGAGCGCCCGCGCCAGCTGGTCATTCTTGTACTTCTTGAGGACCACATCAGCCAGTTTGACAGCTTGCTGCAACAGCAGCAGACGCCCAATCAGCGAGTGCGGCGCGCAGGCAAGCAGGTGGCTGCAGCGGCGACGGAGGCGGCGACGGCGGCGGCGGCGCCATCACTCCATCACCTTGTAGCTGCGGGCGTCCAGAGCGTCATACAGCGGGCGCAGCTTGCGCTCATACGCTTCCTCGCCGTGGAGAGCCATTCCCGGGTGATGGCGGTCTTGCTGCCGATGGCAGCACTGCAGGCGATATGCCGGATGTCAGGATCACCCTCAATCAATGAACAGGGCGAATGCTCAGCAGCTTTGAGGGCAGGCCTCTAATGCGATGCCCCACCCGCAACAAGCTGCCTGCGCCCCACAACACCACAACAAGAAGAAGAGCCAAAAAGCAGGCTAGTTCTAATCGTATGCAATCGGCGACGGCCTTGGTGCACAGCAGGCCCCAGCATCCCGCCGCGTCGCCCCGTCACCGCCATTGACAACGAGTGCCTTTGCCTCTCGCACTCTTACACTGTCGCCTCCCGAAGTCCGGCTGTCTGAAAAAATATTCATTGCTGATGTAAAAACTCAATGCAGGCAGTAGTGTGGGGAGAAAATGCCAGCGCGCGAGCGGGGCGAGTAGAGCAGGCCGGCAGACGGCGACAGCAGCAGGCCACGGGCGCCGTGCTGACCGCCGCTGCTGCCGGGGATGTGCAGGGCGGTCCCTGGATCGCTACCAGCGCCACCAAACAGCATATCAAACTCCCGAGCCTCTGCAGAGGAGGGCTGCTTGAGCAGCCAATCCAGCTCGTCATGAACCATGGGGGCCAGGCCACCGCCATCGCTGTCGCCCGTTCCCCTCCTGCCGCCCGCGGTGGCCTCGCTCTGATTGGAGGTCAGGCGGCGCAAGCCGCCGCCGTTGTGTCCTGCTGCCAATTCCGCGCCGCTAAACGATGCATCAGCGATGATGCTGGTGCCGTAGCCTCCCGCTGCTGCAGGTTTGGGCATGCCCTGCTCCTGCTGCCGCTCCTTTTGGCCAAGCTGCTGCAGCGTTGGGGAGCTGTTGCTGCGGTGCACTTTGGCTAAGCCACTGCCGGCCATGCTAGCGCTGGACCTGCCCTCATGCCTGTGCTTGAGGTGCTGGTGCTGCTGCTGCCACTCCGACCGGCGCTTGTAAGGGGATGCCGACCGTGGGCTGCCCGCATCTGGCAGCTCCATTGAGCGGGAGCGCAGCAGGCGCGGTGCTGGACCACCTGCCCCCGGTAGCACAGGGCTGCCCGGCTGCCGGCGGTCGCCGCAGCCGGCACCATAGGCAGCTGCTGCGGCGGCGGCAGCTATGGCTGCTGCCGCAGCAGCAGCGCTGCCCAGCGGCAGCGAGTGGGCAGGGGTGCGACTCTTCAGGAGGACATCCAGGTTTTGAGAAATGAAATTCATGTCGTCCTCAGTGAAGTGAGCAGTGGGTGCTGCCAGAGCTGCAGCAGAGTCGCTGCTGGCCTTGGTGGCATTGGGCTGCAAGCCAGGGGCAGAGTATATAGGAGCGTTTGTGGGCAGGGGCACGGCAGAAGGCAAAGCGCATGAACTGCACAGGCAACCTGAGCAAGCGCACATGCTCTGGCGAGGCATGGGGCAGGTAGGCCTCCCGGTAAGGATGTGCCCCATGATGGGCATGATGGCCCCCCACCTGGAGGGTCATTGGGGACATCATCCTCAATCATGCATCATTCTCCCTCCCGTTTGTTCTGTTGGCATCCCAGCAACCGTAATACGCTTTTCCAACGAACTCAACCCCCATGAGCACACATGAG